GTAGAATTCCGATGCATTTAAAAAATTATGTACTTTACGTATCACAGATCGCTTCATCAACACACTAGTTGCTCTAGGCTAAATAGCCTCATGCGTAACCAACCGCAGGATCTTACAATAAAGTTTAGTCTTGCAAAATCAACGAGATCAGTCAAACAAGTGGATGGGGTTCAAGTACTAAACAAAGAGGGAAACCTATAGGCCGTAGCCCTTGAAAAAAAACACTAACTAATGCGAGCACAATGAAAAGTATTCAAAACGAATAGAAGAATATGAAACGGACTTTTGTTTTACTCAGCCTCTCCAGGTGACGGCAGGCCGCCCAGTTTGACAGACCTCGGAATTCGGCTAACGTCGTCCTCCTAAGAAAAGGGTGCTAACGTAGATTCCTCATAGCATTCGTTTACCTCCGAATTGAATCAGTTTCTGAAAATGCGTCGTAACTTTCACAAATCGGCTTACTCCATAAAAGGGTTTAAAACAAGAGGGCGATGAAGAAAAAGACGGAAAATTTGAACTAGTTCCTTAGGTTAAGCGAAAAAAGGATGAGCGCTAACCCAATGTCTTGTGGTCCTCCTAGCAATTTGTACGGCCCCTAACCACTTACCTACTCATGAAATTTTGTACAACTTATAATTAGATAACTCGGTGAGCACTTGTCTGCTTGTCTGTACCCACCACAATTACCGGAAAACGCAGTACCATGTTTCAATGCTGTTCGTTTTTTTGAAAAAAAAAATGGGTTATGTGCATTGATAAGCATAAATAGTGGGTAATTTCGCGCTATTCGTGATTATTTTAAGTAAAGCAGCAGGGGGATAACTTTATGTAACATTATGGCGGCAAACCAAATAAAAAGTCTTCCAAGTGAGTGCGCATTAAAAATTACACTATTTTAACGTTGTTATTTTATTTGAAGTATTACATTTATTGTTTTTCATCTCCACGGATGACCAATCAAAACACTTGGTTCCACTTTGCCGCTTAAACAGCCCGCCATCTCCGTCCAGATCCGTGTGAAATGCCACAAGCAGATCCGAAGGACAAGATTCATGCCTTGTTACAGGGTATAGAAGCGTAAGGAATTCTCAAGTTATTGTCTCCAGTTATAATCCTGAGCATCTGCCTATGCTCAAAAAGCACTTAGCATGGCAAATCAAAGAAAATGAGTATGATTTCGAGGCAAATCTTGTCATGCTTCGATTGTAAGACCAGCGTTTAATATTATCCGTTTTAGATACCAATTCAATCCCGATCTATTCGATGTTGACGCAGTACGACTAATATTGCTCAAGGCGATAGGCAATCTTCCTTTTACGGACCTTACACTGTACAAGTACCTGATTCATACCGAGAGAGTGAGTTGGTGCTTACCTTATTCCATTG